CACAAAAACACCCAAAGCACTATAAAACAAGGGTGAAAAGCCCTTCAAATCCAAGTTTTCAGACAGGATTTGCCTCTCACAAATGAAGTTGTGTATGGTTCCCACCATAGGCAAGAATCAAGTCTTTGGTGCTTTAGATTCAGCATGGTGTGCATAAAATATTTTATGAGAGAGACATTTTTGGAAATGCAGATAGATCTCAGTCTGGCACAAACACGTGCACACAAGCTCTGCTTTGGGATGGAAAGCAGCTTKCATCAGGAGAGGTGCCCCTTACACAAAGTGCACTCACTTGATTGGGACCAGAACCACTCACATCTGTTCTGTCGTCTGGAATTACCATTAACGTCCTCAAATTAACTGTCCTCCGGTTCCGTGTGGGTGTTTGGGGAAAACAGGAAAGGAAAAGCATGCCTGTGCTTAAAATAGTAATTACCAGGAACTAACTGAAAAAATAGCTTCACATGTCATTAACTGAGCACATAAATAGTGCGTGAGGATTAAAACACAGAGACAAAAATAGTACATGAGATTAAAGCACGAAATGCCCACGCGCACGTAATACATCGCACCATGTCACATCACTCCYGTTTTCACTATTCCTGGCATTTCCAAGCCGAGACGAGTCCCTGTGGTTTCTTAGACAGTCTGGGGACACCATCTAGYGTTGTCATTTGGGAAAAGCACCTTGTGTGCCAGACCCTGAAACTTGGGTCGCACCGCAGTGGGACARATGGAAAGGTGACTGGAAGAGCGGCCGAACCTGCAGCTGCCTCCATCGGGATAAAGTGTAAAGTGAACAGCCTGTGAAGCATAGTGAAGCATAACAGAGCCCATCTTTCCAGGAAACGAGACACAGTGTTGTAACAATTTTAGGGCTCTCGTCATTCAGCAAATCAGGCAGTTGCCAGGCTTGGGCAGCTTTCTTAAGCTTTGCGCTTATTGTCCTGTCTGGTCAAAYCCTTAAGCATTTGGCTTAAGGATAAGAGTTTTCTCACCACTTTAC